CTTCCACAGGCAGGATGACGGAACTGGCCTCTGTACCGAGAGAGCCTGCCAAGTCACAGGGCAATTGTGTGCATGAGTGAGAGGGAAGTAACTTGGGCCACCACTTATCCACCATGAGCAGAGGGTAGAAACACAAGAATAAAATAGCGTGTGGTGGATTATTTTTCAAATTATAAATCTGTTTTCAAATGTAGCATTTTTCTTCCCCAAGAAAAATAATTAGTTCAGTTTTCAAATGGATTTTTCAAGTTTGTGATATATCAAAAATAAGAATTCCATATAAATTGCCAATTTTTTCTGCAATTTTCCCAAAATACCTGTCAAAAAAGTTCTTTGAGTGAGCATAGTGGGGGCATTTTTACCATAAGTAAAATACATGTCTGTATAAAGAGAGGCTTGAGTGTTAGGGGTGGAAAGTTGCATGATAAAGTGGTAACACTGAGCAAAAGACTAAAGATCCCTGAGTCATGACTCTGGAGTCCGTGGAAGATAGCACCATTTTCTTTTTCAAAGATTTGTATGTGTGTGTTTGCATGCATGCATGCATGTACACATGCATGTGAATGCCCACAAAGGTCAGAAGAGGGTGTTGGGATCCCTTGGAGCTAGGGTTACAAGTTAACCACCTGGCACAGGTGCTGGCAACCAAAGAATCCTGTGCTAGAGCAGCGAGTGCTCCCTTTCTAATTGCTAAGCCATCTCTCCAGCCTCAAAGCACTGTTTTCTTTATAATTATTTGCTAAATTTAGTCACTGGAATGAGCAAACTGGAAATCCTGTGAATCCTGAACCATCTCAGGCTGAGTGGTGTTTTAGCACAGCAATTTCTTCATCCAAATTTTTGTCAACCAAAGAAATCACTTTAGCTGAGGTCCTTCATTGTGACCTTCAATTGTAAGCATCCTTTCTTTTATCAAAATTAATAGTAAAAAGGATGAGTATGATTCTTAGCTCTTTTGCAGCAAGTCTCTACTAGTGATGAGAAGATGTACTGAGATTAGATATATCTCCGTGGAGCCTTCACAGTATCATCAGTTCAAGTCTTAGGAAGTGACTGTTCTTCTTGCAAGGAATTTGATCAAGATGCAGTGGAGATTCTGTTCCCAATGCCAACCCAGCAGCACATGTAGGTGACAGAGTGTCACTCTTCAGAAGAACAAGGGAGTATAATAATCACTGCTCAATAATAGTATGAAAAATAGGTGCAGTTAGAAAGGAACTCTGTATGCCAAAAACTTTATTTAGTCCTTACAATCCATGGCCCATGAGATGGGCATATGAATTCAGTTTTTCAGAAAAAAGATAATTTTCTCAAGATCCCATGACTTTAAAGTGGCAGATCTGACACTTGAACCCAAATATCTTGATTCCAGACAGTACTGTGTACCAAAGCAAGAAGCAGGAAGATAGCAAACAAATGTGACAGATCTGTAGCTATAAAAATCCATCTCTTCCAGAGCATGAGTGTATCAAAGGCAAGTTCCTAAAGAGCATCAGTCTGTGACTCTGTTAAGGAAGCACACACCCACGACCTTTGATATACCTACCTGTATAGGGATCTATCAAAATACTAACAGTGGTTCTCTCTAGAGATGTATGTGAAATGTTAGGGATTAAAACTTTGTTTATGTCTAAATCATAATTTTAAAATATTGTTACAAAAAAACAATTGGGAGGGGCAGGAGAGATGGGTGACTGGTTAAGAGCACTGACTGCTCTTGCATAGGACAGGGGTTCAATTCCCAGTATCTACCTGGGGCTAACAAACATCTGTAACTCCGGGGGAATCCAACACCTTCTTCTGACCTCCATGGGCACTGCATAACACAGGTGCACTTATACACATGCAAGCAATATAGTCATTTACATAAAATAAAAATAAGGCCAGGTATGGTGGCGCATGCCTTTAATCCCAGCTCTCTGGAGGCAGAGGCAAGCAGATCTTTGTGAGTTCAAGACCAGCCTGGTCTACATAAGTGAGTTCCAGGCCAGCTGGGGCTACAGGGAGACCCTGTCTCAAAAGCACCAAACTACTACTACTACTACTACTACTACTACTACTAATAATAATAATAATAATAATAATAATAATAAAACCAATTGGGGTTAAAAAAGAAAAAGACCGAGCTCTCAAAGATTAAACATATTTATCAAAAGTTGATTTTGGGTCATTCCTGGATCTTTTGTTATTGAGAACATGAGGGGTTTAAAAATAAATTTGTCACTTCATCTACAGTGCAACCTCTACACCTAACACTCATGGAACATGGAACAGGGATAAAGAAGAGGACACTAATGAATCTCTCAGCTCTCAGTAATGACTCTCCCTCATTTAGCAGAGGGTCAGGAACACAAAGGGTTACAAATGGCCAAAGCATACAGATCAAGAGTCTGCTGAATATTAGTCCTTGGACAGGACTCCTTTATTAAACTTCATCCACCCAAGGCTCAGGGACCACCAATGAAGAGGGGGTAGAAAGATTGTAAAATTCAGGGAGGTGGTGCATGACCATACGGAAACAGAGTCCTACGAGCTCCTGGGATCCTGCTCATATGATTTGATGATATTGGTGTCAGCATACACAAGTCCCATGCACACTCAGGCAGACAAAAATCCAGCATAGAACTTGGAAAATGAACAGCAGAGCCCAATCTTATCTGAAGAAATATTGGCAACTGATTGCTGCTAGGTGAAAAGAGCTGATCTGCCTAAAACCAGGGACTTTAGATAGGCTGACTAGATCTCAGTGGATGAACTTACACTGGGGAACAGCCGGGGACACTGAGGACACAGTGGGCCTTAATAGGGATGACAGAGTATATGGGCTCCCGTGCGGGTAGGGAGTAATGGGAAGGTGCCGGTGGGTATGGGTATAAAGATAATTAAGATTGTTTGAAATGTTCTGTATGAAATACACAAAAATTCAATTCAAACAATTTTTAAAAAACTAAAAAATTAAAAATAAACTTTTCACAAACTTCTCAGTTGAGTGACACATAATAGTACAGGCAAGACAACTTTTTTAAAATGTGTGTACTAGTGACTTGTATATACTGCCCCAAGTCTCATATGATCTATGAAACATTTAAACTCCTTCAAGTACATTAGAATCTAGAGTGTAACAAGCATTTGGGATTTTGTTTATTTTTTCTATCTTTTTTTTTCGGTCTTTTTGAAGACAGGGTCTCCCTGTGGGGCCCCAGCTGTCCTGGAACTCACTGTGTAGACCAGGCTGGCCTTGAACTCACAGAGATCTACCTGCCTCTGCCTCCAGAGTGCTGGGATTAAAGGCGTGCACCACCATGCCTGGCTGTGTTTTTGAGACAGGGTCTCCCTGTAGCCCCAGCTGGCCTGGAACTCTCTATGTAGACCAGGCTGGCCTCAAACTCACAGAGATCCGCCTGCCTCTGCCTCCCAAGTGCTGGGACTACAGGCATGTGCCACCATGCCCGGCCATATTTTTTCTACTTTTAATAAACAATTTTTATTACTTTGGGAATTTTATACAATGTATTTTGAGCATGTTCACCCCCAACTCCTCCCCTTAACTCCTTCCAAAACACCCCCATACACTTCCCTACCACCTACTTCCTGTTCTATTTTTTAAAATATTTTTGTTTAATCAAATTTAGAAGCCTTCCTCCATCCATGGCCCCCATACCCCCCACACTGATTTCATGTATTCTGCCATATATGTTAAGTCCTGTCTGGTCAAGCATTGATACCCAGCTATTCCTCAGTGCATTTCATCCACTGGAGATCTAACTGGAGTCACTCCTGTAAAGATCTACTCTCCTTTACCCTGCAGCAATCTGTTGCTAATAGTTCCTCAGCTAGGGTTGAGACCCATCTGCCCATTTCCCCAGTTCTGTGCTGGATTTTTTGATTGAGTTTGCCTGGGTCTTGTGCATGCTGGCACCATTGCTGCAAGTTCATATGAGCAAGTTTCCAGAGGCTTGTAGCCTCGTGTTTCCTTATGTTCATGCACCAGCCCTGACTCTTACAATCTTCCCACCCCCTCTTCCACAATGGTGCCTGCATTTGTTTTTGAACACCAGTTTATATAATAAAATGCAGCAACACAATTGATGACTCTTGTAAATCTCATTTGTTTTCCTTTTCTGGTTCCAACTACCAGTGCGTTTTCTTTTTTCTACATGCTCAGCCATAATGTATCATTTATCACATTTTATACTTTATATAACTGATCATGAAACACATCTTGTTCCACAGCTTTCTTTTTTCTCTTTGATTTACTAAATACTGGAAATGTGACTATGTCACTATCTTGAGTGAGTTTCCTCCATTACTGTTTCGTGTTCTGGATACTTGCTGTTCTGGGCCTCACCTTTTGGCGAAGGTGAAACCTTCTTGTGTATGTCCTTATAGTCTGCACTGTCTGATCAATGAAAAATATTTTTCTATGTTTGCCAGCCTTTCAGATTTCCTCTGACTTTTTGTCTCATAAACTCACCCTTTGATATATTTAAAATGTGCTATTACTTAGGGTTTACCTTTTTGCCTTCATAGCACTTGCATAAATTTTCGATTTTAAATGTTTGAAACTTATCCTGTCTTGACTGCATCTTATGTTTCAAGTTTTCACATGCTGCACTCTGAAAGCACTAAATATGCTCTAAGTTTTAAAGTATTACTTTTAAAAGATCTTTAATCTGACATTGATTATAGTTTGAAGTAGAGACAGACTTTTTTTCAAATAGGTAAATTGTAAAATACAATTTCTCAAAAATGCACTCCTTTCTCTGCTGGTTTATAATGACACAACTGATGTATCTGTGTCTAATACAAGGAAACAGCAGTATCAGGAAGTCTGCCAAGTATTTTATGCATAGGCCTCAGAACATCAGGGCTTTTCTACCACACACTGGAAGCCTAAGTGGAAGCTCTGACCTGCATGAAAGCAGTTGACAGAAATGTGTTCATCAAGTGAGCCACTCAAATGTGCTAGCTGACACTAACCAGAGTGAAAACACCACACCTCAAATATTTAGGTTGCTTTTATTAAACAGGAAAAAAAACTGTGTTTGTCAAAATGGCAGATGTCCCAGTAGCTTTAGCAAAAACTGACAGTGTCACTGTGTTTGAACAAATTCTTAGGAATCAACAAGTAATTAAATTCTTGAAGCAGGTTCAAGATACCAACAAATTCTAGACCTCAGAATAGTTCAAAGCCAACAAATCAAGCACAGCTTTGCTTAACCATTTGGCTTTTGTAAAAGTATATATTATTTAGAGTACTGCCATCTGAGCTACATAAATGGAGAGTTTATCATTTTACTTGAATTAAAACTAGGATTCTGAGAACATCTAAATCTTCTTCCAAGTTTTGAACATGGATACAAACTAACCCCCATTCCTCTCTACATCTCAAATGTGAAACAACTGTCACAATATATCAACATTTTCACAGGAACATTTTTAAGGCTTCTGGCATTACATAAAATATGTAATATCTGTATGACAATATCATAATTATATACAGAAAACCTTGTAAATCTTCCTTGTGCAATGTAACTTCTAAAGATGAAAGTGTTTTTCTTAAAAAGTACTGAAACGTTGTTTCCTCTAGATTGGACATTCATTTGTAATTAAAGAATGAATAAAATAAGTCTTGTACAAGTGAGTCGATGAAAAAAATTGAACTGAACAAACTTCTTTGAAATTACTAGTGTTCTAGATCATGCTTTAATATAAAACAGGCTTTATTATGACTTATGTTTCCAATTACACCGGAGCACTGAAGCAACAAATGTTAATTTCTGTTTGCCTGTTTATGTGCCATACACATATGTTTATAAATCTCAATTTATACTAATGTCTCAGTCACCAGAGTATACAATGTATTTTAAGAGGAATCAACAAAAGGTGATTATTTCTCATTTTGAAAAAAATGAAAATCATTTACACCTTGTTTAAAGGTTCTAAAAGCAGCATATTTAGCTCTTAAGACAAAAAAGACCAAAAAATTATTATAAATTATAAATTCTAGTAATTTTCTTTGGGCATTAAAATCTGTAACACAAGTGCTTATACTTTAACAGATAATATATTAGTGTACATCTGACTATACATTTTCCAACATTCTTTGTTGGCAGAAAGTTGGTCTGTGAAGTGGAACTGGTGAGGAGCAGTTACGGCAGGGGGACATTTAGCGGCTGTCCTGGGCATCAGAGCACGCGGCATGGCTGAGTCCTGACTTTCCATTCATAGATATTGTATTGGATGGAACAGTAACCTAAGAGGAAGAAGCATACCTTGAAGTCATCAATGTTGATAAAATGAGACAGCTGTCCAATTTTTAACAATGATCACATTTTCATGTCTGCTTAACTGTAAATGCTAGCATTCAGTATTTATTATTCAGTGATTTACAAATAAGAATAAATGCTCACTCTATCATGAAATGAAAAATGAGTTATTTCCACAACAAATAAGTTAAATAACCCATCAACACATCTTAGTCTTGATAAAATTACCAAACCAACATAAAGGACACAAGCACACATGACTGCATGCCAAGCTGTTAAAGAGCATTTTTAGCTACATTAATTCTGACTTCTGAAGAGTGCTTTGAAAAATGTGAAAAATTAAAGTGAATTTCCCTAATTTTTACAATTTTGTACGAATGGTAGATACTTAGTTTGAGGTTCTCTTCTCAGTTACTTGGTATTTATTAAAAACAAAAACCACCACCACCAAAATCTAGTCTTTAAAAATTCTTCATATGAAATGCTGGAAAAAAAAAAAAAAGGTCAAACCTTTGAGTGCTGTGCTAAAGCAGGGAGATGGTGGATAGGCTTCCTTTGATCAATGAACACCTAACTCTCAGAATCCTAGAGCTAAGGCTTCTATTCGCTCACCACTGGTGAAGGAAGCGCTGAAGAGTCAGGCAGGATGGTGTGCACCTGCTATCTCAGAACTCAGGAAGCTGAAGGAAGAGTTCAAGGCCAGTCTGGGATACATAGTGAAATCAATTTTTAAAAAAAATCAAAGAATTTCCCAAAACCTTGAAATTTCAGTCTTAGAAAATGCAAAAAATAAAAAAAATTCATGTGGCTCCTGAATAGTAAATATGTCTATGTTGAAATGTCAAATACAATAAAAATGTTTTTTGAAAAACAGTATCCCTAGATTATAACTGGACCAATAACCACGCACTGCCATCTTCTTCTAAGACCAGAAGTACAAACAACCAGAGAGCCTATCAGTAAACTATTGGAAAGGATTTGCCTTCTTTGTATTTACTTTCTGCCTTTTACTAAATGATGTGGTCACTTTTGGAACTGCATTTCCTTGAGGGCCTTAGCAACCCAAGATGCAGTGGAGCAGGTGATACTAGACACCTGAAATAACAATAAAGAAGAGTTGCCAGCAAGACAAGGGAATTCACCCACAGCCTGTTTGCTATTGGTGTGGTGCCACTTCCCAGTACAGCCAACAAGGCACAGGTAATGGCTTTTCCCTGTACAACCTTGGTCCTAAATCTTATGCATGTGGAAGATTATTTTTTTGTAATTCATGACACAATTGCAGTTCTCATTGTCCTTTTAAAAATATTTATTCTTTAAATTTCATATATGGATGTCTATGTGTGTGTATGTCATGTGTGTGCTGGTGCCTGTGGATGCCAGAAGTATCGGATCCTTAGAGCTGGAGTTATAAGTGATTGTGAGCTGTCTGACTTGGGCTCTGGGAACTGAACTCAAGTCCTCTGGAAGAGCAGCAAGTTCTCTTCACCACTGAGCCATATCTCTAGACCCCTTATAATTCTTCATAAGGAAAAATTTTTATGTATCAAAAAAACCCATATTGGTGGCTCTAAATATCTACAAAAAAATAAAATCAAGCTCATTGTAGCATCAGAAAAAGAATCCAGTAAAATGTCCACTACGTAGCAAATGCCATCTTAACATTTATATAGTCAAATGGGTTCATATTAGAATATACTTTAAAACTACATAAATTAAACATAATGAAAACAAAACTGGCAATCAATAAACAGTTCTCAAAAGAAGAAATACAAATGATCAATAAATATTTTTTAAAGTATCAATATCCAGTTTCATCAGAGAATTAAAAATACTTTGCTATTTCATCTTACTCCAGTCAGAATGGCCACCATTGAGAAAATAAATGAAAACAAATGCTGACAAGGATGTGGAGAAAAAAGACCTTTATCCACGGTGGAAGTATAAACTAGAACAGCCACAAGGAAATCAGTGTGGACCCTTCATCAAACACTAAATATAGAACTGCCACATAACCCAGCTACGCCATTCCTGGGCATATTCGCAAAGGACTCTACATCCTACTACAGAGATGCTTGTACATCTAAATGTACCATTGCTCTCGTCACAACAGCATTGAAATGGAACAGTCTAGATGACCATCAATAAAAGGATAATGAAACGGTGGCACATATTACACAATGGAGTTTTATTTAGCAATAAAAAAAATGGGATCATGACATTGACAGGAAAGTGGATGGAACTGGAAAACATTATTAAGTTAAGGAATCCAGACTCAGAAAGACAAATACATGGATCTCTTATGAGGATTCTAGTTTTCTAACTGTTAAATATGTATGTCCAGGTCAGAGCAAGGATGGATAAAGGCTGGCAAACTAGAAAAGGTTCCATGTTGACTGGGGAAAGAAAAAAAAAAAAAAAAAAAAAAGACCTCAAAGGAGAAGGACAGGGAAGGCAACAGAGCAAAAGGGAAATGGGGACTATGAGGCAAAAGGCAGCATGGGTAAGAGCAGGGCTGACAGGAAGGAGGAGTCAGGGGGAGAATCAACCAAAATGAAACGTGAAAAACCCCATGTGGAAACCTATTACTTTGTAAGCTTATTAAAATATATATAATAAAGTACTGTGTAGTCTTAAATAGTATAGATCTATATAAGATGGGAAGCTTCAGAAGATAGAAGTTTATGAATATTTCCTGAAGATTCCATTTGTGTCAACTAAATATGTTACTATACTACTAAAACTGCCCTTAAAGCTACATAGAAGTATATCAAATTAACAGAGTTTGACGGCACATACCTACAATTATCTAGGCATTTGAAAGGCTGAGGATTGTGAGTGCCTGGGCTACATAGTGTCAAAAAATAAATACATGAACACAAAATAAAGAGTGCTAATTTGGGTAGGAAAAAAGACATTTTCTTTGAGATTTAAAAATATATTAGCACAAGAGGATATCATTAGAAAACTGGTCTGTGGGGCCTGGAGAGATGGCTCAGCAGTTAAGAACACTGGTTGTTCTTGCAGAAGACCTGGGTTCAAATCCCAGCACCCACATTACAGCTAACAACTGTCTATAACTCCAGTCCCAGAGGATCCAAGAGCCTCTTCTGACATCCATGGGCAATGCATGACACGGATGCACTTACCTACATGCAGGCAATATACACATACACATAAAATAAAAATAAAGATTTTTTTAATTAAAAAAAAATTCTCCAATCAGAGGTCTTGTCTATTGGATGCCACTTTATACCAATGCATATTTTAGTGTCTGGTGCAGTCTAGTGCTCAAATAAAATAGTGCTTGAATGAGATATGACAACTTTTTACAAGCATTCATAAACTAAAAAAAGATTACTTGACTTTTTTGTATTATGCACATAACTGTACTTTAATAGTCATTTTTTTAAGTTAATGCAGACTCATAAGAACTTATTCATGTGTCTGCTAGTTGATGTTTAAAGAATTTTCAAGAACATTCACAAAATTTTGTTACATATGGAATGTGGTTATGAAATATCACTTCTTTTTTACTGACAAAGACATTTAGAAAGAACTGTTAACCTGTGACCCTTTTTCAAAATCAAACGAAGAAAATAAGAAAAACAGTAAGTTAAACAAGCCAGTAGGATTCTTGGTGACTTACACAGTTCTTTTTTGTTATTCTTTCCATGCTTCTATTTAGTCAAAGATGAATTTTAGATTCTGAGAAAATCTCTAATAGCAAGTATATATATATCAGAAGTTTATTTTAGACTTCACCTTTGAAAACGTTATTCTAGTTGTAATAATACAATACTCTGGTTTTCAGTAATTTAGATACCATGAAGCACTGAAAGTGACCAATATTCTTATGTCAACATAACATAGGTCAAAAATAATAGATGATTTAGCTTTATTCTCTATGAATAATTTTCTGAGTCACAGAGAAATCTTAACTTCAAACACAGTTTTAAAATATTGAGCTAGGTTGATTAAAGCTTTACATGAGGACAAACTGATCTCCATGACTATCTGCGGGGTGAGTGAATGGGAGCAAGGTATAGAACCCTAGAGAAGCATGGAAAGACCACAAGACCACTGTGTTCACACCCACTTCCACAGGACAGCCATCAAAATAACTGCTGTGCTGTGAGGTGGCTGGGATGAAGGTTAGCTGCTCTGTGGGAGCCAGAGCCGCAGCCAAGTTGGTACCTGGAATGAAACTGAACACTTGAGTTCCAAAATACAGGTAAACATGGAGCCAGTTTGCTGAGGGCCAAACTAATCTACTGTCAAAGTCACCGAAGATCTTACTTGGCAATATTGTTATTCTATAAAAGACCAGAATTTGAAAACTATTGGCGATATCTTCAATGCAGGACATAAACATGGGACGAAGACAAAGATGAGAAGGGGTTAAGTGCCCCCAAGTCTATTTTCACCTCCTTTTCCTACTTTTGAAGTAGATTACACAAAAAGGGTATGGAGTATAAATTTACAAGCTACTGAAGGCAAAGATACATACACAATAAGTCATCACAATAATTCACCCCCCTGAATGTGTCTCTAAGAATTTGATGTTTTCTTTACTGTGTATTTTGTTTTGTGGTACTGGGGTCAAACCCAGGATCACCCACATGCTAGACATGGACTCTCCCAGGAAGCTATAAGGCCCTGTGCTCTTCGTCATGGAACTTTGCATTAATCTAAACCAAAAAAATTACTGATTTGGGGTATTGGGGGTTGAATGCAAAGTCTTCCCCAGGCCAAGCAGTCCGTTATTGAGCTACATACTCTCTTCCCTAGTTCCCTGACTCTAGAAAGAGCTGTTACCAAGCTGTTATCACAAATATAGTTTTGTATGCTCTCAAACTTTACACATATGTGCTTGTGGGTTTCTATCTGTATTTTCACATTTAACTACATTAAACTTTTATTCCATCTAGTGTCATTTTGCTAAATGCTCATGCTGTCAAACTGCGTCCTAAATAGTTATGTGCCTACCCATCGATTTATGCTGCTCTCAGCTTTGGCCAGGGAAGCTTTTTTTTTTTTTGCCATGGATAGTGGTTAATGTAGAGACTCATTAACTGGTCAAAGTGCTGAGTATAAATAATTCTAAGTACTCATCTGTGGATGGGTTATGTACCTCCCACCATGCAAGGGTCAGGGAACTTCAGGGAAGAGGAGGGCAAAAGAATGTAAGAGCCAGTGGATGGGGAGGAGACTGTGAAATGCAGACTTTTACACACATCCTTTCACAGATGCTGTGGTGACCTGCACAAAATGAAGCCAACCAAAATTCCAGCATGGATGGGAAGAGCGTGCTGGGGGTCCCTCCCCTATCAGAGGACCTGCTGGCACTTGATGGCTGCTGAGGGAGAGTCACTCTCTTTTGAGATGTGTAGGTTGGTCACGCCCAGTGGATGGTCACACACCAATATGTATATGGGCTTCACTAATTGGACTCAGGGGGTTATTAATAACCAATACAAAAAATCAAAAAAGGATGAGAAATTGGGAGGGAGATGGCAAAGGGAGAAGTAGAGGAAGCTGAAGGCGGTGGTGATGGGTGGATATGATCAGTATTTATTGTATCAATGTCCAGATCTTTCAAATTATATGTTAACAATTGCTCCAGTAAGATGCTCTACTCTGTTAAAACACTACTATTTATTATTTTTTGATAATAGGGTTCTGTTTAACTCTTACAAATGATATTTCATAAGTACTTTTAAATGTAAGTCTTGGAAGATAAAAACACAATTTTAGAGTATATACCTAGAACTGGGAATGCTGGTCCTTGAGTATAGAGACTGTAAACTTTACTAGATCCTATAATCACTTTCAGGGAAATAAAATGGATTATGTATGAAAAACTCTAGGAGCTGGCACTCTAGACTCAGAACTATCAATAACCTCCTACTCAATGAGATATTGTATGCAATAGAATCTAAAGTAATGAGTTTTAAATAGGATATAATTATAGGATCATCATTGAGGCCTCTTTTTAGTGTTGGTTCCTATCTAGCTCATTCTGGACACAATGAAAATTTCCTAGGAGATAGCACTGCCAAGTCTGGGCCAGCAACACAACATGTATCCAGCTTCTGGCCTGTGCAGTTCTGTCAGCCTGAAATGCATTTGCAAGTCAATGCACAGTAGTCTGCAATCCATTCACTGAAACTGATTAGTGCATTCCCTGGCTCACTTCTAAGGCACTGCCATTGGTAGCTGAGTCACCAGTGGCTCTCCTGTAGATCAGACTTACCACTGCTTTTCAGACCCAGGCTATGTAGAAGGCAGAGGCTTCAGTTTATTCATTCTTTCTGGCCCTGTACTTAATGAAATGTGTGTGTCTCAAATAGTTTAGATTGGTGGTGACTGGCTTGAAACTCATCTTTAACTTCCTGGATTAGTAAATAGAAATTTTTTCATAAATGTGAATGTGTAACTTAGTGACATGGGCAATATTTTCCCCTTAAATATAAATGTGTCAGGACCTGTGAAATACTAATTTCAATATTTAAGGCAATACCATTGTTTCTGGTTGCCTGACACCTAAATGTAAGCTCCATTTTTAAACTACAAAATGTATAACTGACCACTAAATTAGTTCTTTGTGTTTCTCTCATTCATGAAACCACCCAAAACTTTGCTTTGTCTTTGTGCTTTCCCAGATAGGAGTGCCAAGTCCTCTGGGACAGGAATGACTGTTACTCACATAAACACACAGAGGCAACTGTCTTGGGCAGTTCTGCGCAGTAAATGCTGGAGGGCTGGGGACACCTAAGATAGCATTCTCTTAATTATGTTTTGCAGCAATCCTATTCCTTTCCACCTTTGATTTCTGTTAAGCTCAATGTTTTGCTGTTCCAATACCATAGCCCTTCTTTAAATAGCTTCTAAAATGACAAGCAAAGGAGTGTGGAAAATGAAATACCCAGGGACTCAGTGGAATGAGAGCTTTCAACTTCCACACTGAGGTGCTACTCATAGGATAACAACAGGGACACTGTGACACTCATATTCTGCCTGGAGGAAACTATCCATCTCACTGTTCTCTGACACCTCACCAAGGACAAGTCAGGCCACTGTGGCAGGCACTGCATGAAGACTTGAGCTCTGAGGTAGGTCTCCTCACATTCTCTAAATTCTTCTCAACTTTTTATAACAGAAGCTATAAAAATGTCCCTAAAACCCCATGTGGTAATTACTCTGGTCACTGGAAGAGATACCTGCAAACATACAGGTTCCCATCACTAAAAGTCTATCTTCTGAAAAAAGGAGTAATTTTCAAAAGAATCTTTATTATTGTGCTAACATAATTTCTTAGAGTAAGTCCAGGGTGCTTTCTATATATAGTTAGATAGCAATGAACTACAGTCATGTTCTGCACCTGGCCCACATAACAGTCTGGACTCCTTCAGTTTAGACTTCAAAAGTGACCCATGACATAAAAGTCTAACTTCTGGCATCTTCCTTATTCATATTTGAATGTTAGAAGAAAAACACCCACCTAAGAAATAATTTGACAAGGTTGAAAATAAACCCACTGTCACCCAAATGATAGCAAAACTTACTCTTTTCAACTTGGCAGCAGCCTCTCCAGAACGGATTGCGGTCAGCAAACTCTGCCGGATCTGTTCCGGGTCAGAGCTTTGCAATGTTAAAGAACTCTGCCTCTTAAGGGTGAACGACGGGCAGTCGGCTGGAGTTGGGATTTGAGACTTCTGTTCATTACGTGCAGATTTATTTTGCTACAAAAATAAACGCAAAGATATTTATATGAATTCCAAGAGAAGAATGGTCCATTTTTGCACAACATTTGTTATTACCAATAGCTCTCTAAAAACCACCATGTGCCATGCTAGTGACTTAGATGCAGCTCTGTATCTTCACCCCCTTCATTATCTGCCGGCAGAGCTGAGCCAGAAGATGAGAGCACTTACCTTCCTTTCTCAACTCAGGATGCTGAGGAAGAAAGCTGTACCTCTCTGTTTCATGAATACAGTGATAATGTTACTGTGCTTGAAACAAAGAACACTGATTTTACCAACATGAAACTGGCTAGGAAAGCCAAATTCATGATTAAAAATTCCACAAACTGAAGAATTCTCACGGTTCTGACATATTCGTTTGGGAAATGAACAAAGCAGTTGAATGCTGAAAACTTCTTACTGTTGACTCTAGTATATCATCTAATAAGGGGTTTATTAATTACTCCGCTTCATGTAATAGCTGATTTTGTATTTCTAGAAGTCACAGAAACTAGGTGCTGACTAGGTTTTCTTGATCTCTCTCATGAGACTAAAAATAAGTGTTAAAAACTTCCAAGCTGAACAATCAGAAGTTTAATTAAATGTCTTAGGAAGGGATATTTAATAACTGATTTAACTGGCAAATGTTATATCAAGTAATCTTAAAAATGTCTTTTACAAACTGCAAAATTAATATATTAATGTTTTTAAATGAACTAAATCAAGTCCAGGCAATGGCTCAAAGATGGCATCATCTAAATCAAACTTGTATTATTTAGGAATCCAAGACAGAGAGAAAAATGCAGGCTTTATTCACAAGCCAAGGATTAATCGCTACACCACAGATCACTCCCCAAAGCTATATCACAGTAATAAACATAAATGTAAAATTTATGAGAAAATATTCTTCAAGATAAATACTGCTGTAACATTATAGAAAAATATTTACTTGGCAGTAGGGGAAATGCTCTCTTACCCTAGGAATGTTTGAATAAGTAGCATAAAATACTCTGGAACTGTCACAGAAGTATGAAAGTATTCTTTAAACACGGTAAAGTACACAAAGTATCTTTTAAGGATTGCCTGTAGAGGTCCATGATTCCCCTTGTGATTTCCATCCTTTCCCCCTACCATTTTATGTGAACCCAGCAGCAAGCATACTGGTTAGCTGACAAATCACCAGGTCAACAGCACTATTCTTAAATTACTATGGGTAGATAATGTTTTTGTCAACCTGTGCCTAATGGGAACTGAAAATAGATAATTAAGAATATTACATTTTAAAACTACTTTCATTTTAAATTAAGTTATATGTAAATGTTTGGTTAGCTGAGATTGAAGGCACATGATGGGAAATGGACAACTGAGGTATGTTTGATGATTTCAGTCTTTGATACTATTTATTTTAGATAATTAAAACTGTTTACTTGACTATTACATAGTGCTATAAAAGCAAAAAAGAAAATAAACTAGCACATCCAGAAAAGTTAAAAACAAATTAGCAAAACACAGGGGAAACAGTCACAACTCTACACCTGACAATTATACAGTTGTGTGAATAAATTTTTAAACATTTGCTAATGATACAATTATATAATTTTGACTTTAAACAGTATCTGATTAAGATATATAAATTGCAATTCTCAGAGTAAATAATCTGTTTTATGTCTTTTCCCAGTCTTTTCCCTAAGGTATGAATTCAGAGTTAAGCACCACACAAATATGCCAAGAACTGGTTGGCCCTATTTTAATGAAGTTGTATTGGGATCCGATTGCTTATGATTGGAAAGTTAGGGCTTACCTTATCATCTTCATCCTGTTGTGGGACATCTTCAGGTTTATGTACCACACATGCCTTTTCATTCTCTGTGTCAGTTGGAGACTGGGCAAATGACCCCTCACTAGATGATGGGGGGTGTGCTTTACTGAATGACTGAGACCTTTTCACCACAGCAAGGGCAAACGGTGAGGGAGCAGAACTGGAGTATGGTCGTGGGGCCCCGAATGTTTTCAAGGTCTTCAGGTTGGGTGCTGCTGCCTGACTGCCAGACTTAAGAGCTACAGGAGGAGGAGAGGTCTCAGTAGGAAGAGACATAGGCTTGGGAGCTACAGGAGGAGGAGAGGTCTCTGCAGGAAGAGACACAGGTTTGGGAGCTACAGGAGGAGGAGAGGTCTCTGCAGGAAGAGATACAGGCTTGGGAGCTACAGGAGGAGGAGAGGTCTCTGCAGGAAGAGACACAGGCTTGGGAGCTATAGGAGGAGGAGAGGTCTCTGCAGGAAGAGATACAGGCTTAGGAGCTACAGGAGGAGGAGAGGTCTCTGCAGGCTTCTGGCTGGCTGTGTCACCATCAGTCTTTGTAATGTGGGGCAGTGGAACAGAGTGAGTCCTTTCACATAATGGAGAAGGAATCTGTTCTGGAGGAGGCAGCGGGTCCCTTTCCACCTCTTTATTTGTTAGTTCCTTGTGGGTGGGAGTAGGGGCAGTGTGGACACTCTTAGCAGCTGCAGATGTCACATAGTGACCTGATGCTCTTTTCTGCATCTGTAAGAAAAATGAACTTGGTTTGGCCTGGGGATTTGAAACCCTTGATCTAAATTTCGACTCCAAAATATTGTTTATATCTTCCAGATTTGGTGCAAAAGGAATGACTCCAGTATCCCTAGCTGTTCTGGGAGGTTTTAGAGGATTCACTGCAGCACCATCGGGTGAGCTCACAGTCCTATGCAACTGACGCTCTGTTCCCAAGCTGGGCTTTGGTTTAAGGTCCGGCTGCTGTTCCTTTGGGCCTTCAGAAGTAGCAAGGGCTTCTGTTTGCATGGCAGGTTCTTTCATATTCTCAAGAGTGTTCTTTTGTCCCACATGTGTCTTTTGGTCATCTTTATACCCTACAGTTTCTGATTCCCAATCTCTCACCATTTCCAGGGACTTGGGAGGCACTATTTTATAAGTAGTCATTCCAATTTTAGGTATATACTCTCTGGTAATTTCATTTGAAGGTTTCGGTTTGGGATTATAGTCCTGTCTGTAAAGTGGAAAATTCTTTAGGTGAGAAGCAGTTGGATTTTTATCAACCCCATCTGGAGGAGACAAAAGGTCATCGTTCCCATATGCGCTCACGGGCGCTCTGGTGGCGAGCCTATCTTGTGCATGTGTTGAGGTACCCTGACTCCTCAATTCTCTTGTGGCATCTGCAGCTTCTTGGAGACTTAAGGATGAATGCTGAGTTGATTTGCTACTATTTGAAGTTTGCACACTTCCATCAACCTTGAGGTCAGACAAATTATGGTCTTGGTGATTGCCATCAAAACTATTGCAGGAAGGAGTTGCTTGAATTGATGCATCTTGCATGTTTGTCCTTTCTGCACTGGGTTGACGAAGTTTCTGATCTGGTACTGATGATGCTGCCAAATGATTTTCTTTGAAATTTTTAACATTATCAGTTCTATGTACAGGAAAGCCTGACAAGCTACCAACTTCCACGTCTTTAGTTGGGGCTTCGCCATCTACGTTAGTTTCTGTTCTCCTCACTCTGCTTTGCACATAGTCTTCTGTGTTCATTGTAGAGACCACGATTTCATTTTGAACTGTTAAGAGAAAAAAATATTGTCAAGCAAGTATTTGAATAAGTATAAAAATTCCAGTTTTCAGTGTCTGCATCACCCGATCTGTGACTGGAAGATTTGAATGCTATACAGGATTTTCAACTTGTTAATTATACAAAGGCAGGAAATGGCACACAGAAAAGACAGTATGAGCTCTGTACTCATAAGGACCTGTGTTTGGAACCCATCTAACTAATGTGGCCTCATGTTAATCAATACTCCCTTTGAGCTCATTTTGTTTAGATGTAAAGATATGCTTATATAGTTATTATATATACACATTTATAATAATTGACATTTTTCCTAGGAATAGTATTGCCTAGAACAAATACTTCATAAAGGCTTGTTTCCTTCTCATGGGTAGAGACTTCATATTTTATCACTGTTAATAACAAATTGAGAAATTCAAAAACTGGACCTTTTCCTATTTTTCTTCCACTGAGATTCTTTTGTAACCCTGTTTCATTCCTAATACTGAAATACTCCCAGCAAATGTTGTCAGCTTTAATTAAGGCAGACAACAGTAAACATTCCCTGTATGGTTTAAAAAAAAATAATCTAAATTATTTGGTGCCCTTGTTAATTTAGAGAAAGTTGTTTCAATCAAAACATGGATAATTTAAAGTACATAAAAGCAATCATGGTTCTGACTTTGAATTTTCTCTGCGAAATAAGGTAAGACTCTGTAAGGACACCCTTTACTCCTCAAAAGTCTGAATTCAATGAAGAAGCCATCTCCCCCTCCCCTCCATGACATTTGCTCTACATTTTAGTTTAGCTCTCCCCAAAATGAAAATCATTTTCTATCATGTGGGTTATCAAACAAGAGACCCTATGAAGCAAGATGGCGAAGAACTGGAGTGAAGAAATATGCAGGGGTCATGTATGTGCGCCCTGCACTTGGCAGCTTAGTATCAAATATTACCATGTGATTTACATTCAGGTCCCCTCTATTTAAATGCAAGGACTCGTTTTTCCTGTATAACAGCTAGTCCTCACCTTCACAACCCCAGAGGCTTTCCGTTTCAGGTGTGGTAATAGTTTGTATAGCACAAGTGAATTGGGAGCCTTGGGAGTCAAATCATGAAAGGACATCAAGTATTTCTTTATAGTTTTATCATAACCACTTTTACCTAAAAAGAAGACATCAAACACATGGCCTAACATTGAAAATCCAGAATAAGCTACATAAGGGTAAGTGTTCTCATGCACACATATGGGGGGAGGGGTAAAGAGAAAAAGAGAAAGAGAGAGATAGAGAGAGACTCAGACATAGAGACAGAGAAAATGAACAAAAAAAATCATGTCAGATAAATTTGTATACAAATAGTTCTGTAAGATAGCTTTACATTTTATTACTTTGCCTAATTACATAATTATTTGTTTTTACGGTAAGATTTTAATTTTAAAGTAGAATTTATTGATATGATTATAAATTTAAAAGAGCTAACTGGTTGGTTGGTTTTGAGATAGAGTTTAATTGCAACCCAGGTTGATCTTAATTTTTTGAGTGTGGGATATTAGGTATGTGCCATCATGCCAGGCTTAAGAAATAGGTTTCAGGTCCGAAGTGCAGTAGAGCTCTGCTTTGTGTGTGCAAGACCCCATGTGCAATTCCATAGCACTGCAAAATAAATAAGTAAACTCCCCAAAGAAGTACTTTTAAAATCAAGATTTTTCATTGTACCACCACAGGGTATGCCATGAAAACTGGAATCAAGAGGAAAAAAATGGAAAGTTACTTTTATAGATTTTTTTTTGGGGGGGGGGGATTCTTTTTGAGACAGGTCTCCCTGTAGCCCCAGCTGGCCTGGAGCTCACTCTGTAGACCAGGCTGGCCTCGAACTCACAGAGATCTGCCTGCCTCTGCCTCCTGAGTGCTGGGATTAAAGGTGTGCACCACCACACCAGGCTACTTTTAGAGATTCTTAATGTAGCTCAGAATGGTCCCGAACACAAGAAAAAAATGAATTACACATATAAACATTCAAGTTATATATATATAGCAATGGCGGCATTGAAAATATTCATTTCTTTCTCAAATGTAAGTATTATAGCCCTATGTTTTCTATGAATATTTGATTTTCACATGAATGTAGATTGGACCATAAGCTCCCATAAGCTTTCCTTCTCATTCTCTTAAAATATATCATCATGCATTCCTAGAATTTTCTACTGAGCATTATTGTTTTTGAAACTCAATCTTATGTAAATCTGCTAAGTGTCTCAATATTTTATTACATGCTTGAAGATTTCACAGGAAGTCACAGATTCATTTCTTTGATCCAACACTGTGCAATTGCGCTGAGGAGTCAGGAATATAGGAGGCATGGTTTGTAATAATCAAGTAACAAAATAATACAGTGGAAGCAATTGGATTATAACTGAATGGGTCAAGTAGATGGAAATTGTTTTCTATGCAAAGACAGCATGAGCCTTGGCCAAATGACAGAAGTGAATGAATCACCGAAGGGGAAATTGTCTTCTCTGGAGATGAGAATGGGGAAATAGTGATAAAGTCTCAGAATTAGATGGTCTGAAAGTCTGGCAGGCAAGTTTCACCCAGAGTAGCAACTTGAGAGTAAGCAAAAGAGCAGTGCATTAGGGAACCGAGAGATACCAGGTCACAGATGCACAGAGGATACAACCAAGACCTGAGGTTCATGTTAGATAACCTCTAAAGATCAAATGGCTTCAGAAAGAGTACACATGATAGCTGAGAGCTACTACACTTTGGAGTAATATTGTCCAACTTTAAATCCTAGGTCCATCACTTAATAGTGATGAGACAATATCACCATGGTTTACTCATTCATACAGTCAAAATAATAATAGTTCCCATAGTAATCACAAATGAGGCAGGTATTAAGTGAGTCTATTTATAAAACAAAATGATTTAATGTTTTAAGATCAGTCCTTGGTACATCATAGTCTATAAGATTTCAGCATTTCATCACTCACCACTCTCTTGTTTGGGGTCCAATGTCTTCGAGTCTCTCACACAATTGGCTGCTATCTCTTCATTGTTTGTGTCATATGCAGGACTGTGTAGCTCTCTGAAAGAAATGGCATTGTATATGGTATGTGGAGTCCATTCAAACATACAATGACAATATCAGGTAACACTGTTTTCAAAGACAGATGGACTGAAATAATCACCCTTTCCTGCCAAATACTAAAAATGTAATAGCAAAGGAAAATAGAAGAGGAAATGTTCTGACTGTGAGCTTCCCAGAGCAGAGCTCCTGTCATAAAGAAAGGCAAGAAGTGTGATAAAATGGACACTCTTCCAAATGATTGGCTTTATTTTGCCTACTGTAAGCTATTTGTCTTTTAAAGAAAAAAAAAGAAATGAACCAAAGCATTTTAGTATTTCATATGGCAAAGTCAACAGCGTAAATTAGCCTATGGATTGACCTTCCTGTTTTTTAATTCTGGTGACAAAAAAAGAGTTGAATTTGGAGACACTCGCATGCGAATGATGACAAACCTCACATGGAGGCAGTCTCCTTTGCTTGTTTGGTTTCATCTGTATTTGTGGTATTGCATCTCACATGCAGTATAAGGAGATTAGACTGGCCTTTGAAATTCCTGCATCGAATGGACATTGCTGCCTGCATCTCAGAGTTGACTGTAACATACTGCTGGTGACTTAAACCATGTTCTTTTACACAGAGTTGTTTCTGTATGCCAGGTCATGAAAATTCTTCAGGTTCATTCGGTGAAAACTGAAAATTCAATGTCTCATTTATGTCAAACAGATAAGCAAAGCACAGAAACAAACAAAACCTTTAACTTTTAAATTATACAAATTAACTGCATGTCATGTTGACCTGACAAGGATAGAACCCTTGAATTTGGTTCCATTTGAACAGAATTATATGCAACAAGATACTTTATTAGTCCATAATTCCAAAACTAGTATTAACCAGACAAACCACCACATTGACACACAAAGTACTCACTGTCCATCCGTGTTTCTGCTTTCTTGGGGGTTTCCCTTGGAGCCAGGTGAGGCCTCTCCATCACTGAGGCCGAGGGCAGAGTCAGGATCATTCTCCAGTGTATTTATTACATCAGTAGATACAGAAGGAATGTCAGGTGACTTCACAGAAACATTTTCAGCCTGATCTTTAGACACTGAACTTAGTTCTTCTTTTTCATCTATTTCTTCAAGACTATAATCAGAGCTAATGCCAGCTACAAAAAAATGCAGACACAATCCTAAATAACAATTTTCCCTGTTCACCCTATGCAATCCTAGTAAGAACAGTATTCAAAATAATAATTTGACTATACCTTAACAACGTCTAGACTCTTAAAATGAGGTTCCAAATTAATAGTGAAATATTTTTCTAATGGTGAATAATCATGTTCATATATATCCAAGGTGTCTCAGACTTCTTAGAATTCTATAACAATGTGTTATCACTGTAGAATATTATTTCATAAATTTCACATTATTTCATTTAGAAATATAACTTTGAATTAAGTACTTTTATATGTATATGAATCAATACTATAAACTGAATACAAATTAGTAATTTAAAATGAAAATGCGGGGGCTGGAGAGATGGCTCAGAGGTTAAGAGCACTGGCTGCTCTTGGAGAGGACCCAGGTTTGATTCCCAGCACCCACTTGGTGGCTAACAACTGTCTGTAACTCCAGTTCCAGGAGATCTGATGCCCTCTTCTGACTTGCAGGCATTGCATGACATGGGTGCACTTACATGCATGCAGGCAATATACTCATATACATACAAGTAATAAAATATTAAAATTCAAAGTCATAGAAATGAGATTTCTGTACTATCTACAAGCACGCCTGTTGACCAACTCAGTACTTACCAGTATTGCCTGTAGTTGAGAGGTGCCTGAGCCTCCTTTGGAATTACTAATGCTCACATATATTCTACAGCTACTAAATTAGAATTCTAAGATGTGGGGCCAAGAACTGTTAAGGTTCTTTAGATATTTCTAATGTGCAGCCTGGGCTAAGAGCCACTGATCTAACTGTTTTATATAATTAAAAAATATTTTATTATTTTTATTAATTTTGGGTGTATGAGTGTATTGCCTGCATGTAAGTGCACCCAGGTCGTGCAATGCCTGCGGAGGCCAGAAGTGGGTGTTGGATCCCCTGGAACTGGAGTAAAGGACAGTTGCTAGCTACCATGTGGGTGCTGGGATTCAAACCCAGGTCTTCTGCAAGAACAACCAGTGTTCTTAACTGCTGAGCCATCTCTCCAAAAAGATTATTAATATGACTTTTTTTTAACAAAACAGAACAAATATTAAACATTAAAAATTAATTTCTATTCTCAGTTTTTTTTTGTTTTCATTCTATTTTTTTTTAATGACACTAAGGACTGAATCTATGACATTTGCATGTTAGATAAGTACTTTACATCTGAGCCATAGTCTTGGCCCTTTCATAAATTTTTTTCCATTAGGTTTCTCAGATTGGACTAGCATATGCTCTGTAGCCCAAGTAGGCTTTGACTTGCAACCCTCTTGTCATAGTCTCTTGAGAAACTAGAATTAAAAGTCTGGCGTGGTGGCACTGGCCTTTGATCCCAGCACTCAGGAGGCAGAGGCAGGCAGATTTCTGTGAGTTCAAGGCCAGCGTGGTCTACATAGTGAGTTCCAGGACAGCTGGGGCTACAGGGAGACCCTGTCTCAAAAAGACGAAAAAAAAAAAAAGTCTGAGCCAGCAACCCAGCTCCATGCCTTTGTTGTTATTGCTGAGATATAATCTCACTGTGTAGCCAAGGCTCACATTCTTGTAATCCTGAGTGCTGAGAGACATGAGCTACTGTGTCCAGTTCCCCACATACTTTGACTTCCAGAAGGAATTAATTTCCTTTGACACTTATATCCTGTGTATTACCAGAAGTGTCATATACAGACATACATAAGCAGATATCCATACTCATATTCTATTTTTTTCTTTCTGTTAGCTTAATTTAAATGGAAGTACATTGCACTCAATATTTTAATGTTTTTCTTACCACTTACCATTTAAATCTCAACTCATACAGGTAAGTATATGTATATAGTTCAAGAGTTTTGAATAGTGTTTCATTGTACAAGAGTTAATTACTTCTTACTACAAACAACCAATGACAGCAGGGTAAAAGGAAAACGCTCTGGCAGTTAAGTACACACAATTCTCTTTAAAAATATTTTACTATTTTTATTTTATGTGTATGAGCGTATTGCCTGCATGCATTTTAAGTGCACTTATGTCATGAAATGCCTTCAGAGGTTAGATGAGGGCATTGGATTCCCCTGAAACTGGAGTTATGGATGATTGTTATCTGCCATGTGGGTGCTAGGAACCAACTTGGGTCCCTCTGTAAGAGCAGAGTGCTCTTAAGTCCTGAACCATCTCTGCAGCCCAAGTGCACATAATTTTTGTTGTTTAAACAAATTAAACATTTCCATTCATATAACAACAAATGACTGAAATTTAATTTTACCTTGTGAGAAGAACAGTAAGGTCGTATGTACTGTTATAGTGGTCAACCTGTTCCTAACATTTAACAAAAGTTTTATTTTATTTTTAGGAACATGGATAGTAAAGTGTATTACTTCTGTTCTTTAAGAAATAAATATGGACTGGGTCTTGATGATACAAACCATCCTCTCCCAGGAAGGCTGTGGCAAGAGGATGATTTCTTCTAAGAGTTCTAGGCTAGCCCAGGTAATAGAGCAAGACTTTTTCTCAAAAAAAAAAAACAAAAAACAAAAAACCAGGCTGGGCGTGGTGGCGCATGCCTTTAATCCCAGCACTTGGGAGGCAGAGGCAGGCGGATCTTTGTGAGTTCGAGGCCAGCCTGGTCTATACTGTGAGTTCCAGGACAGCTGGGGCTTTACAAGGAGAACCTGTCTCAAAAAGACAAAAAAAAAAAAAAAAAAAAAAAACAAAAAAACAACCAACCAAACAAACAAACAAAAAAACAAAACAAAACTATGCCAGACATGGAGGCACACACCTTTAAACACAGTAATGCAGAGGCAGAGACAGAGGCAGGTGGACGTGAGTTCAGGGTCAGCCAGGGCTACAAAGTGAGTCCTTGTCATTAAAAAACAAAACAAAACAAAACAAAACAAAGCAGCATTGGTTAGCCATGGTTTTTGTTAATAAAAAATTTGATTGTGTGTGTGTGTGTGTGTGTGTGTGTGAGGGGGGCGTTGGTTATGGTGGCATACACCTTTAATCTCAGCACTTGGGAAGTGGAGGCGGGCAGATCTCTGTGAGTTCAAGGCCATCCTGGTCTACATAGTGAGTTCCAGGACAGCTGGGGCTGCAGGGACACCCTGTCTCAAAAAGACAAAAAAAAATTTTTGATTACTCAGAAAAAATGTTAAAAAATTTAAATTAAATGAATTTGAAATATGCATGTTTGTCAAGTATTACTTTACTTTGACATATGAAGCTGTCATTAGGATGCCTTTGTGCAACATGCTTGTGATAGAATTTTGGACCTATGCATTCAGAGTATATTTACACAATTGAAAACTATCACTAAGAAAATTCCAGGGCCATGATGGTTTAGAGGTAAACATGTCATTTAAATGACTCCTTAGCATACAAGAAAGCTCTTTTGGAAATTACATTAGCCATCATGATCACTGGTCCTCATCCCTTCCTCTCTTGAACTTATCACAAGTATTTCAGAGATGCACTTATTTGTGTGGTCCATACTCAGAAATTAGTGTCAGTAAATGTATGAAGCATGAGTTCATGTTTCAAAAATCTTCTCAAATTATTTTTGTTAATAACTTGAAAAATATTCCAAAGTCTTAGAAAAGGCAATGGTTCCTTTTAAAAGTTCTAATCATCCAAGAGAATCATAGTCAGATTCTGGATTAGTAAAAATTTTTCCATGCTTTGAAAAAAAATTAAGTTTGTTTTGTATGTATTGGCCCAATTCTAAAACACAGTAAAAAAGAAATTGGGGTAGGAGCTGTGAACAATCCTAACTTTCACAAATGCTGTATCATAATTATTACATTTCACCTTTAAGTTCTAAAGATACAATACTCACTTTCAAATAACAAAGTGTTGACATGTTAAAGCACGTTCAACACAACATCTCTCAAATATAAACATTTACATATTATTTTAAAATAATTTGAAAGTATTGAAGTTTCCTTTATTGCACACATAGTTTTACATACTTTGAATATTTTATGTTAATCTTTTCAGTATTTTTAAAGATTAAAAACATTCACTGCAGCAAATGAAATTGAAAATTATGTAAAGTTCGAAGGATTGAGCTGAGCATAGCAGCCCACCGCTATAATACCTGCACTCAGGAGGGGACGCGGGGCAGCAGAGCTCAAGGCCAGCCTGAGCACACAGTTAGTTCAAGGCCTGTCTGGGCCACAAGAAACTCTGTCTCAAAACACCAAAGAGGAAAGAAACACATGGAAAATAAATGTAACTAATCTTTCAAAAGAGTTTGTTTTATTTTTAACTCTTAAGATTTTCACACAAGTTATATGAAGTATGTATGATGTCGGGCACGCGATCCCACAGTGCTCTTCCTTCCTTCTGCCCCTCCCACAACAGATTTTCCTTGGTTTGTTGCATTTTACTTGCATTTAAATTTTATATTTAATAACGTCACATCTTTTCAGATATGACATAGAATTTTCCTGGTGAACATCAAAATGGTAAAATTACTTAACAGATGCTATTACTTTGGTTAAATATAAAACTCTACTAAATTAATCCTATTTAATCAAAGTTCTTTTTCTACTTAGCAATATCCTATAATATTTGGATGAGTAACAATTTGTTTACCTATTTTTTGGTTTAGGAACATTTGGATGTTTTCCCACTTTGGGCAACAACAACAAAATCTATACATATATACACTGGCTTTTCCTTTTCTTGAGAAAAACCTAGAAGTAGGGTTGTCAAATCGTACAGAAAATTAATGTGTATACTGAAGTTCTGAAAATCCCTACCAAGGGCTGGGCTGTAGAACAGACATAGATTTCCTTAGTGTGCACAACGGGACCCAGGTTTAATCTCTAACGCAACCTCACCTCAGAAAAACCCATTAAACTGTTCGTAAACTAGTCAAGCAATTTTGTATTCTCACAAGCAGTGTGTAATAGTATAGAAACTTAAAGCAACTAGTTTGATATAATGAAGACGTTTTCTGAGTCAATTAGAAAATGAGTTAAATTTATGAAAAATTCAAGTATTACACAACTATAAAATTTTACTATCTCGAAACAAAGTAATTCTAATATTTAGGTTTGTTGTTGCTGTTGTTGTTTGAGACGGGGTCTCCCTGTAGCCCCAGCTGACCTGAAACAGGCTGGCCTCGATCTCACAAAGATCTGCCTGCCTCTGCTGGGATTAAAGGCATACACCACCACATCCGGCTAATTCTAATTTTAAAAAAGAAAAAGCATCTGAGAATAATGTTATGGAAAATAAGTCACACACAGCTAGCAAAGGAATGGTTCAATAAAGAATACATAAATATTCCTTTATATATTATATGTACTTCTTCACTGAAAATAGTAAAGTTCAAACAGCTTCTTCAAAGAAGTAGAAAGCCAAATACAAGCAAAGAGACCCTTCAGAGTCACTGATGACTCATTTCACGCTTTGTCCTGTTCATTTAGATGGTTAGGGAAACAGAACATTTCAAACCTGGATAAAATTTTAAGTGAAAGGAGGAAACTCTTATTTTTTATGGAACATCTTAGAGAAGAGTTTAAGTCATCAAAAATATACTTGATGACACCTTCATTCTCATAAAGCAAAGCCCCAGCCAGGAAAAGCCTGAGAACTTACATGTCAAGGAAGCTACAGCTGCCTCCGGAGTTCCAGGGCCCTCAGAGAGCGAGGTTTCATCTGCAGCTTTGGGCACAGTGCACTGCTCCTGGATGAACGGCCCAGGGCCAAGGGAGCCCTCTGCCAAAGAAGTAGAGTCTGTAGAAATGGCACTTAGACAACAGCATTAAAGCAAAGCAAGCAGACATCAAGACACATTTGGAAAATATCCCCGGTGTTAGTTCACAATCACCCATGCAATAACCATAAAGAGGTAAAAGAGAGAAACGGGTATTGAACAAAGTTTGAGGAGCATGTCCATTTTTTCTAACTCTTCAGAACCTTCTAATTCTACCATATATTTTAAGTTGGTAACATTATTCGATAAGTTTCCTGTGTAGAAATAAGGTGATATTGTTGATTTTATTCTAAGAAAAAAATCATTATTACTTACATTGTACTATTATAAATCATAGGTCCTCAAATTACAAATTCCTAACTATCACATAAAGATCAAGACTTAACTTTAGATGCTCCTAAACTTTTCCAATTCTGTGATTATGAGTGATAAATTCCAGGTCGTTGTACTTAGCAACTTTCATTCTTACCAAATTATCTTCATGCTAATGTAGTAAGAATATATTTATTTATTATTTATTTTCATTTACCTAGTTTGAGGCAGGTTGGCCTGGTACTTTGGATCCTCCTGCCTTAGCCTCCCAGGTGCTGGAATTATGGATGTGCACCACCATAACTAGCTTATATTTATTCTTCTGAAAGCTACTAAGTAGCTATTACTGAAAATATTAGAAACAGATTGAATTATTTTTAATTTTTAGGAATTTCATCTACTTGGGGGAGAATCTACAAGGACAATTATATCATAGAAAGTATCTGCATGTAAACAAATTTTTATCATTAGAGTAGATCTTGAATGTTGAAGTCACAGCTGCAGTGGTTGCCTAAAGAAACCCTGTATACCCCTTAAATTTTCTCTAAACCCACCAATGCGCCTTCCCACTAGGATGCACCATTACTTAGAAACAGGCTATTAGCTGCCCGTCTGACACATAAGGGAAACAGGAGGCTCAATAGGGAAATCACTTTAGCTTCAACTCCAGAGCTGAAATTTTGATCTCTGCTGGTTTCATATCCTAATGTTTAATCCTTAGGGGAGATAACATAGGATTCATTCTGTAGTACAAATGTTAGGAAAAGAAGTAAAAGAATCCACTTCTCTCATACATAGAGTGTCCGGTGAGATTCATTTCTCAATAGTCACGACACTTCTTTCCTTTACCACACAGTGTGGAGTGGCAGTATCATACCTGGGGTAGACAGGCTCTCAGGAGAGGCCGCTTCTGAACCACCATCTGGAGTAACTCCATCTACTGACTGCAGGGCTGAAAGACGTAAGGCAACTCATAAACAAGCCACACTCAGATGAGAAACTACTCCTGAGGAATTTGTTGTTTACACATAATTCAGGAAGAAATGAGTCCTTACTTTACTAGAAGTCATATTGCCATGCAGTGCTGAAATGATCCAATGCTACCTAGGGACTCGTCCTACCTGCAGTCAGTCCTGGTAAGGCAGTATCTTTATGAATAAATCTGCACACTGAAATCTGTTCAATACAATAATGAAGCTGTACATGTTTGTCATTCTATGTTGTAGATTTTTAAAATGCAGTTAAGGGAGAATAATCATACTATTTAAAAGCCTGGGAATCATTAGTTAATAAAAAGACTTGGATGGGTGCAGAAGCACACACCTTGGATCCCAGCACTCAGGAGGCAGAAGCAAGTGGATCTCTGTGAGTTCAAGGCCAGCCTAGTCTACAAAGTGAGTTCCAGGCCAGCCAGAACTACAAAGTGAGAACCCGTCTTTAAGAAAAAATACATAAGTTAAAACTCACAGCATTTACACTGCCTATATTAAAACATAAAACCAATGTACTCTTAATAAAAAAAATACCATTAGCAGCTGCATGACCATTTTCATCGCTTTGATGTAGGTATGTTTTGGAGGGTGGGGCAGGTGCTTTGCGCTTTGTCCTTTTCAGAGATGAATTTCCTACTGATGTGCTACTGAGCTGCAGTGACCCAGTCCTCACTATGTCTCCATCAGAGGAACTCTGTAGAAAACAAAAGAGCCAAACACAATCCTACATTCAGACATTAACTGCAAAGTTCAGAATGACACTGGCCTTCCTAACAAACACATGGAAAATCAAGATGGACCACAACTGTCATTCAGTCAAAAAGTATTTATTGAGCATTTGCCACATGCAGACTATGGGATGGATACATAAAAATAAAATATGGTCCCTTTCAAGAAACTTAGCCTGGTATGGGGGCCTGACATACAAATGATCAACTACAGTGTAGAAGACTTCTAAGCAACACAGTTAAAATCTAATTCTAAAGAAAACTCTAAAGAAATAAACAGATGTAAGTAAGAGATGGAAGAGGGTGAAGAGATGGGCCATGGGGTAAAGTGTTTGCTGCCCAAGCATGAGGACCTGAGTTTGGATTCCTAACACCCACAAAAGGCCAGGCATAGTGGGACATAGTTGTAATCCCACTGCTGGGAGCGGAACATGAGACAGGTGGATCACAAGACTCACTAGTCTGTCAGCCAAAGCCAATTGGTGAGCTCGTGGTTCAGTAAGTGACCCCGTCTCAAAAAAGAAAATAAGGTGAACAGAGACAGAGGAAGAGCCCCAACACTGACTTCTGCTCCTACCTCATGCACGGGCACACACAGGTGAGCATACTCACACACACACACACACACGCATCATATACCACACATGTGCACACACATACATACATACATACACACACATATAGGGATGTGGAAAAGGGAAGAGTAACTGCATATTAAATAATCTATGTTTTTTTAGTACCAAGTGAAAACATCTCAAAAATCTACATGACATGAAAGAAAAGGGAAACTGCGGTGGGGAAGCAGTAAGAGACAGTCAGGGAACAAGGGAGTCAGGGAGATTTCATTCAAAAATGTCACATCTAAAACTTTATGTGCTAATTAAAAACAAAATGCTAAAAAGGCAAAATCATTTTATTAGAATTTTATAAATTTTTTAAAAATGTTTAAATGAAACAACTCTGTATGTCTACCAGGGGCAAGATCCTTTGAGGTCACTGCCTGGAAACAGGTCTCACACACACAGAGGAGGCCTGTCGGTGGACTGTAAGACAATCATGTCTCAGCAGGCTGGCGTGTTCCTGCCCCTTGCTAAGAAAACGGCTTCACAGAACTGTAGTTTGAATCTCCCATTTCTTTCTTGCCACTGGAATCCCTCCAATTAAATGGTTCCAAACCTTGGATCAATTCAAGTTTTCCTACACAAATCACCAAACTTGACCACAAGTACATTACGGTCACTTCTCCAACTCCTTGATTTGACCTGTTAGCAGTACTAACCACAGTTGGGCATTGCTCTGCAACAGTATTACTTACTCCTGGGCTGCTCCTTCCTTTCTGTAGTCCCACACACCAACTACTCGTTTTCACTGTTCATTACTTTTCATCTTTTGACCAACATCAGCGTAGCCCAGGACTCTCTGCCAGTGCATCTCCTTAGTGTCTATGTTCACTCTCCTGCAGTCTCTTCTCTTACCTCTGGGTATTACTTACATGCTAATGATTTTCAAACCTATGTCTCTATCCTGGATCACTGTTGCAATCTTCACTCGTGTTTCAGGCCTCTTCATGCTAGCATGTCTAAATTCAGCTCTTAGCAATCCCTGTTTTTCCTCCCTCCTCGCCAAAGCCCTGTTCTTTTCATAGTCTTCAAAAATCTTCACAAAGAGCAAGTCATCCTTCCATCCTCCTTATTGTCTCTCTCATAGTCCACACAGACTCTGGCCTGCTGGCTTTGCCCTTAATGGTGGTGGGTCATCTGACCTCTTGATCAAGGAGGCCAAGGAGACCCCACCAGATGGATTGAACCAGTGTCCAGTCTATAAAGAGGAGGGTCAACAC